GTGCGATGCAGCGAGATTATCGCACTTGGTCCGTGCATTATCGCGATGTATCCAAGCCAATTATGCATTACAACCGTGAGGCGCATTTGGAATAATCCTAATCTCGCTACGGCCGTGGCTCGGTTGGTTTCCGTGTTCCTCCCTCGGATGTAATACATGAACGTGAAAGCCCTCCCTCCGAACACGTGTAATCGTGCGACGACGACGTGCGTGTGAGCACGTGTGTGGCACGTTCGCACGAATCCTCTTTCTCTTTCTTTCGCCGCGACACGGGGTGCACGCTCGATTCTAGACTCGTGGACACGAGAGCTAGCCAGCCTTCGGTATAGTTACTCATCGATCCCGCACGAAGATCACGAAGGTGAACAAACTCCTTAACCTTGTCCTTCTCTCTCTCTATCTCTCGTGCCACGTCTGGTCCACCGAATGATTCTGCGAATAACCTTCGGGATTAACGCGGCTCTCGCGGGCTGTCCACCGGCGTGAAACACGCGTTCGTCTCGATCACGTTTAGAGAGTATTTCACGCGTTGCCATTGAATTTGTCGCGGATTAAGCACGCGTGCGAAAGAAGAGGATATCTGGATTGCATTGTAATTAGAATTATACTCCGTTTCCGTGGCTTGACAACCGCGATAACGGATAATTTCGTGGATTTATGAACTGCGTTCTTCAACGGATAGACGGATAAACTGTGAAATAAACTATTTGTAGTATTAACGTAAAAAATGTTTAAATAAGAATTCGTTTTATATCTTAAAAATCATAACATGCATTTCACTTTTTGCACATTTTCTGTGTACGACGTATCATTTGTAATGTCAATATAGAAAATGAAAATAGGAAGTTCTTCCCTATTTCAAAAATCATTTCACTTTTCATACATTCTGTCTACTTGGAGGTTTTTACCATTTCTTCATAAATGCATAAAATTAATCAGTCAATAAAAATGCAGTCTACTTGTAGAATTAACCAAACACCGATTGGTTATTTTATTTCAATTTAGTAATGTCATTCTTCAACGCAATATTTCAATTTTCAAGCATTCGTAATATTTCCTGCATGAATCAGTTTACGTTAATAATTCATAAGGCAAACTATCGGTAAGCTTGGTACCTCCGGAACGAAACACTCCTTCTATAGCAAAGGAATTCTTGGATAAAAGATCCTAGGAATTCTACAATCAAGTCAAATAAAAAGTCGATCATCCACGTTAATTTAGTTTCTTGTTGCACGGTTCAGGATTGTAAAATCCCACGGAAAGAAACAGAATTAATCTCGTATTGATATTACGACATGAAACTGTTAAATGAAACGAAGTAACGACCGGCAGTGATCTCCTGGGTAATGAAATGAAACGTCTTTGCCAGGAACGAGGGAAATCTCATTTGCATCTCATATAACCGTTTAGGTTCTGCGATGCATCCTGATCAATTTCCTTATCACTCTCAGGGTGATCTAGATCAGGAACCGATCTCGCAGTGATCGGGGGGGGAGAGGGGGAGAAAGGGTGGATGAGTCAGGAAGGCCTTGGGTGGCTAAGTTGGATTTTCTCGCAGTCGAATGTTAACTCTCGACCAAGACAGAAATTACAGGCTTGCCGGGCCATTACAACCCCGCGGCGACCATCGAAACCGACCACCACTACCTGTTCCACGTTCTTCCTGCTTACCCTCGCGCATTCCGCCTCGCGGTGAAACCAGCTGCCGTGTTATAGCTCCCCCCCTCCCCCCGCTTAAGCTTTCACGTGATCGTAACCAATTTGTTCTGAAAAGCGGCTCGGGAAAAAGTCGCGGGCTTCGCGAAGCGCCGGAGGAGTATACTTAGTGGATCGCGATCGTGTTATTGAATCAATCAACGCGTCGGTGTTGCCGCAAATGGAGCATTAAATTCGATATCCGATAAAGCGGGAGACAGCAAATAATTCCCAGGCAAGGTGGATACTTAGGCAGGTGAAACGAACCGATGGATCGGTAATTACGCGGCGAATTACGAGGCCGAGTATAACGAGAGTACCGAAAGAGAGCGTTTACCGTGTAGTTTGCTCGAGCGCCGGTTAATGACTTCGGGCTTTCATCTACCCCGATGGAAACGTTACGCTTGGTCGAAACCGTCGATCGGTTAGTCCGTCAATTTATTAATGAGCAACGATTCTGCTAACGCGTGCTCACGGGGGGAAGCAGGAAGTGCAAGAATAAATGACAGAAGTCAGTTTCGCGGAAAGGGGCGCAGGTTTTTATTGATGCTCACAGTCGTTTCGCCGGGGAATAATGGGTACGTTGGCTCGTTCTTTATGTCATATTAACGTACGAGCGAACACGTTAAATCGTTTTTTAGTCGAACCGTGAGTAGTTAGCTACATATTCTTGCCGGACGATGCACGACGGTCCATCATCCCGCGATGGAATTGAGACGCTTCGAGTGGTCGTGTACTATCACGTAGCAGATGGAAATCTCGGCGCGAAACTGTTGCTCGATATCCGCAGCCTGTCCGGTGTGTACGGGTTAAACCGGAGGTAACCCAAAGCGAATAACCCGCAAATGCTGATCCGGCTGATGATCATGGAGATTAATCTCGGTTCACCGCAAGACAGCAGCGTTGGCTATTCCTTTTCATTTTTCATTCCATCGGGGTAGAACACGATCGTTGGCCCCCCTCCTGCGTGCGTGTCTCTCCTCTTCCGTCTTCGCAGCGGCGAGCGGCCAGGTCGCCCGATGCATTTTCAACCGTCACTCTTTCTCACGCAACGTATGCACACGTGCCCCCTACACGCACGCCAGGTTACACACTCTCCGTACCATACGCTCCTTTCTCCTCCATCAGTCCTTTCCTCTCCTTTGCCTGTTTCTTGTTTCTCATCTTCGCTTCACCTCGCCCCGTTCGGGTCGTGCTCTCTTCTCCTCGCGCTTCTTCGCGCCGGCGAGCCTCTTCCGCGTTCTTCTAACCTGCCAATCGTGTGCTTTCGACGAATACGTCCAGCCAACCGGTAATGGACTGCCGATCGGCGAACGGTCGTCTCTCCGCGCTGCTAACAATAAGCTGGAATCGTAATCGCAGAGCCCGAGCTCTTTTTGCCTCGGCAAGAGACGTTCGCGCGGGTTTCCACCGGGGAATAATGGGTCGCGCTCCCATGGACGCGGCCGGACGTTTACAGTTTACGTTCGGTTATTGTTACTTACTTACTCAATAGGAGGATGTTGGTATTCTTTTTACAGGCGAGTACCATTCGCAGCGTACGCACGCTGTCATTCACATTTAAAATAGGGATACCCGCTGTTACGCGTTGGTGGCATCGGATTGCTCGATTCCGCTCGGTAAATTCTCTTCCTCTGGTTTATTTTTCATATGCCAGTAGTGAGGCTCATTGAGGGAATTCGTTCGGTTTACGCGTTGAAGATGAGCACCGATAGGGCTAATAACGCCGACGAGTGGCTGAGGGATATTCCCTGAGAATTACGCGGAGCTTTGTTGCCACGTCGTAGATCACTCAGACGAGATTAGCCGGGACTAATGAAAATTAGCTAACGAGCCTGTCGACTCTGAATGTCTTCAGTTCTGGGCGCAAATTGATAGCTGTGTGCACAGGATGGACGATCGTCTCAAGTAGGCAGCTACCTGTCTCGCGAATCTCCGGATTTTTACTACTATTTCTCTATCCGACACGCACGCTACTCGTAACCGGTATCATAAACCTCTATGGTCGACGGGAACGCCTTGCTTCTATATTAATTCGTTCGCCTTGCGTGACGTTCACGGATACTCGTTATTCTTATTCAGAAATAAAAAGGAAACGAACTATCATCATCAGTTTTGTTTAATACTATTGACTTTAATGTATCATTCTCATTTCAACTTTACCAGTTTTTTCAAATCAACTCATTTGATATTAAAGCTACCTAATTATTAGCGACATTTCAAACATGTGTCACTGTTTTAACTCACAGCCAGAACAGCCTTAAAACATTTAATGAACATGGTCGCAAATCGACATAATGACTCGAAGCTGAAGCTGAGGACTGTCGCGCACATGTTCAAAGTAGAAACACATTACGTTCCAGTAGATTTCGACTTGGACACGTAACGGTGACGAATAGATTTATGTGCCTCCGCTCCTTCATCGTTCAAAGATTGTCTACACATTGTCGTCGGACACGTCTAAGATTTTCTCGAAACTGCAAATTAGCGGCGGATCGGTACAACGCTTTCGCGTCGCTCCGAATGGAGCTCACGTTTCTCGGTACATATTACTATGCACGGGACGAGTCGTCGCGTCACGTCTTTAATGAAAAAAAGGGGTAAAAAGTGATCGGGGAATAATTAACGTGGACTACCCCTGGCGTGAACCGAGTAATTAAGAGGAGAAGGTGATTTATCGTTGCCGCAAAACGTGATAAGCAACAGTTCTCTCGGAGGTTTATAGTGCGCTGGTAACGACGCGACGCTGGCCTCCACACTGGCGTCCACGCGAGACGGTTAGCGTTTTTATTCGCACTTGCGCTTGGCTGCTCGTAAAATTTCAAACTCTTGCCTCGTTGGCAAGACTCCTCGTCGCTTTTACGGTCAATGAAATTTTTCTTCTGCCCCTGTTACCTCCCGACGTACACGCGCCGGGACTAGTTTATGATCTGTCAGGTGGCGTATCACGGGGCTAGTTTCGTTCTTACCACTCGAGGAAACGTCGCCGCTGATAGACGAGGTCATGGCTGCCGGAGCTCCGGCCTTTTTTACTTCAACCGACTCGCCAGCCACGTGATGGATCGTCTTTTAAGCTGACGCGGCTCCCCCTCCTCCTCCCGACACATCCTTTTGTCTCTGGTATTCCTCGACCATAAGACGCATGAACAGCAACGAGAAGCTGCCCGTCAGCCTCTTAATTGATTCCGTGTAATCGCACTGCATTCAACCGATACTTACGCCGCTTTTCATTTCATTACAGTGGCAACTTTCAATTACTCTTACTTGTTGCTCGCTTTGAACTGACTATACTTCATTTCTTTTAGATCGCTCGGCTGCACGCTGCTGCTACTACTGTCTGGCGTGCTGTTGGCCGCGTCGGAGCAGGCGATGTCCAACTTTGAGACGGTGCACAATAGCAACGCGGCGATCTTGAATCGGCTCGGGCTCGCGCCGCTCCAGATCCCGGACGGGCACCATAAGAAAAGAGTGGCTGGTCCCGAGCCGCCGGGATTGAGCTCTCAGACGCGGATTCACCAGCCTTACAGCCGTCGCCACGGGCACCGGGACAGCCACGTCTACATCGTTAAGCTGCCGGCCAGCCCGCCGTATTATACTATCACGAAACCTCACAAATCGGTGAAGGACGAGAAGATGACCAAGAACGGCGCGAATTTCCCGGTCGGGTTTCAGGGCAACGGTAAGCCGGCGAAGATCTATCATTGGAATCTGCCGGTCATGAAGAAGATCACCGAGAAGAAGCGGCTGCACACGCAGCTGAAGATGGAGCAGGCGAAGAAGAAGCTGGAGGAGGCGAAGAAGTACGGGGAGGACGCAGAGTCGGTGAAGAATTTCATGGACAATATTCACGACGGCAAGGGCAGCCAAGAGTCGTCTCATCAGGAGAACAAGAAGTACCTCGCCGTTGACAGCAACAAGATCACCGTGCGCCAAAAGAACGGTCCGTCGAAACACGTGAGGAACAACGACAAGAGGCTCAGCTATCCCGAACACGAGAAGAAGAAGGGGCCCGAATCGGCGAAGAAAGGGAACAACAACGCGATGAGCAACAAGACTTACAGGCTGGACGATTCAGGCGTCCACAGGATTCACCTGACGAACGAACTTCACGGCTCGAGGAACACGGCTAAGGTGAAGAAACACCGGAAGAAGGCGGCCATGTCGTACTACGCGCCGATCCCTGGCAAATCCGGATCCACGAGCATCCACAAGAACTTTGCCGGCAACGGGAAGCCGAAAGCGTTCTACGTGATGGAGAAGAGTCGCAAGCCTGTATATTATCACCCCCTGCTGCCCTAATCCGTGACGAGACGCGAGGACGTGTGTTTAATCACGCTACGTGTTAACGGCCCGTGAGCTTGTTAGGGTAGAACCAGTTTTGGTCATTCGGCCTGAACGAGCATCGAACGAGCGTCCGAAACATTTCATGAAATCAACCTCCACTTGAAACGTCTTCAAAACTTTGTACTGCAAACTTAGTAACACATAGGAAATATCTGAAATCGAGCTAAAATAAATATCGGTCATTTACGTGAATTACATAAAATTAGCGTCCGTTCGATGTTCGTTGAAGGTTGCAGCCTAAGTCGCGTCACGTTTACGATAAATGGGCACGAGACAAGAGCAGGGGCTGTCGTTTCGTAAGACGAACCATCAAATTTATAGAAAGAGGAAACAACAAAAGCGTGTGCACGAGAATAGGAGAGAAGAAGACACCGCGACTATGATACACGTTTGGATCAGTCGTACTGGAAGGAAGCCACGCGTATCCTGCAAGAGCCGTTCCACTTCTGTTACAGTTGTTAGGAGTATTAGACTAGGTTGCCCGAACTTAAATTTAGGATAGTTTAAGGACACTAACGCCTGGACTGAGAAGGGAATTAGGTTTAAGGGAAGGAAGCGGTCGTCGACGCCCGATCCTTCCTCTTTTTAACAAACGACCTCGTCGACCGTCGCCTCCTTCCACCGCGTTCAACTTGTACAATATATTTTTATAAGTTCGACAGATACTTTTCTATCATACCGTTTTTTACGAATCAGGGTTGCCCCGCGGGAGCCCCGTGAACCGATCGGTCACGAACGAATCTTTTAAATAATAAGACTGGACAATACCACTATCTCTCCACGGCGGGATCTGCGTACACGCCTTTCCTACACGTAGCCGCGCGAAACCACTTTTCTTACTAATTTTTTTTACTAAACGGATCGCGAGAGCAGCAAATGTTTTTTATATTCTTATATCGTACGTTATAGAAGCAAGCTCAATTGTATACCGAACCATGGCATTCAGTGTAGTGTAATAAAAGGTATTTATAGTACATTTCTACAAATGTGCTCCCTGTCGTGTACGTCTGCGTCCCGAAGGGATGAACAAAACATGGTTAGTACCCTTTGATTTCAGTATTTTTATATCCATTGTTTCTCAGTCATGTGCCTGCTCGAATGAGAACCGCTTTTAACCCGTTACTTCCAGCACATTTGCGATAGCATCGAGCAACAGTGAACCCTTTGCCTCGGGCGTCACATATTTCGGTAATTGATCGTGTAAATGTCAAGTATAATTCCTCCTTCCTTTGCGTAAAAATTATATTACATCCTCTTCTTTTCAGATATCTTGTCGTCTTCTTTTAATTCGTTTTTATTTCATACAGTTGGTAATATCTCTCTCGTCGAGGGAATCGTGAAGTTAAATTGAGATTTCGTTTGAAGCAGACGTCGTCTGGTGGTGGTGTTATCGGGATCTTTGAATTCAATCTCTTTGAGCAAGTATCACAGATCGGGAAGGAAGTATTCTCGTAACCAGACAGGATATAATCCCGTGCAGACGACTCGCGTCCCAAGTCAATATTTGTGTTACGTGAGAGGGGGAAATGTATAAGTAAAACACGTTTCCTCACCGGCGAACAGCCCGCGAACCATTCTAGAAATATACACGTGTATTATAGTGTTATTTCCGAAAAACGGGCAACAGTTATTGGAAAATTCTTTATATTTTTATTTCAAATAAATATTTACAATAGGGGAGGAATCTTAATAGAAAATATACAATATAAATATGACTTTAATAATAAATATTAATAGGCGTAACCGTGGTCCGCGTTCAAGTATAAAACAGCGTCTAATTATACTTAATTATGCCGTCGCTTGAGCAAATGTTCGTTCTCGTAATCCTTGCTCGTTCTATGCACAATTAATTACTTCGTTCGCTAATTAATTCACGTATAAATAGATGCATAAATATGTATCCGTAGCCTATCGATAGGAGCTATACACTCGAAAGTAGTAATTACAGAAGTTAGTTGGGAATCGAGTGACGACCGTGACGACGACTCTACAGACATTCCAGAATCAGAATAGACCGAGCGTCCAACTGGAAGACTATTGAGACCAGGCGATCGAAAGAAAACAAATGGAAGAGTTTCCTTTTTTTTTTGCTGTTAGAAACATGACATTAACACTAGATAGAAACTCCTCCAAAGTTTCCTCCGTCATTTACGGGCTGAAAAAAAGAATATTGGATTGGAACGAAGCAAAGGCGGAGTTGTTCGCCAGGTCGATACATTGGGAGCTCGGTTTTATTCTATTGCTCTGGCCGCGCGCCGTAGCGTTTTCGTGGGATTTTTTTTTACTAGAGAAATGAGAAGCGCAGGAACGAGAAACTTTCCACCGTCACTGCTTCGACCCGTCACTTCACGTGCCATTATTTTAATCGACCGTACGAAGTATTTTCTAATACACTCGTCGAGAGGGCCGATGGAAAAGGAAATCGCGTTGGTCACGGCAACCGCGTGTATCATTGGCGTAACGAAACTTTTTAACAGTCCATCTACTACAATTTCCCTTGTAATCATCCGAGCGATAACCCGTACTCCCCGATGGAAACGCGGCACGATATAAATCAGCGGTAAATCAAAGTCCATAAATAAGAAGCCCGTTCGCGGTACGGATTACCGGCACGGCCTCTCTAAACTTTTCGCGGTTATTTCTAAGCAATCGATTCTCCGCAATGCCCATCCCCTTCATAGAGCAATTACGATCCGATCGAGAGGAATCCTGCTTCGTCTGCTTCCTCCCCCGGTTTACATTTCTCGTGCATGCTCATCGGGCTCCCCAGACCGGTGATTCGAATCCATCATCGTCCCGCAATCATTCCGACGATTGCAAGGAAGCCGGAGCTTCGTTTCGGTAGCAACGAGCCTAGCCTCACCGCGCGCTTCTCAATAGTACGAATTATCCCGCTGATACCGGATACGCTGATGAAGCTTGGAGGTCCCGTCGGGGTTCAACACGTAAACGCTGGTGGGCTTGCCGCTGAAATAGTACGGGCCCTTGTCCAAGATGTTCACCAAATCGTCCGTCTTCTTGACCGGCTTCACGGCGCCCTGCCATTGGTAGATCGTCGACGGCTTCCCGTTGAAATCCGCTGACAGACCGTCGAGATTCGTGATCGGGCTGTCAGCCGGCTTCTTGTTCTTCTTCTTCTGCCACTGATAGACGGACGTCGGTTTCCCGTTCGACACGAAGTCGATCGGCACTTTGATGAACGGTTTTTGAACGGTTTGCTTGTCGGTGCCCGACGGTTTCGGCTTCGCGTATATTCCGAATTGAGGCCGGAGGCTGCTGGTCGAATATTTAGGCGGCTGGGAAATGTAGCCTAATCCCGGGACGAACATGTACGGCGTGGGTGGCAGGCGAACGTAAAATATGTTGCTGTCCGGGTGTCGGTGCAAGGTCGACGTCTTCCTCCCTTCGGTGTCGTAATTGTTGTAGTTTACGTCGTAAGGCAGGACGTTCGAGAACGGTAGCTTCGAGAGGTAATCGAGGACGATGGCTTTGTGCTTTCGACTCTTCTTCGTCGCTTTGCTTTCCTGCATCTTCGCCTGGAGCGCGTCGTCGGTCGTTTCTGCACGATCGTAATCGTGGGTCGTAACCGAGGGCAGTGACGAATCTGTCGTTCCACCGTCGCTCGTTTCTGATTGCTTTTTTGCCGAGTGACTGGCCGCCTCCTTGTCGGTGACAATCTCGGCTTCCGTGGAAACTGGGAACTCGGACGTGTTCCAGGCGAACAATCGACCGTTCTGGGGGTCTTCGAGCGGCGCTGCCGCCGCGGATGCTACGATGGATACCAATAAAACCAGCGAGCTCCTCATGATCACTGGAAAATAACAAGTTTCAACATTTCATTTCACGACGAAATTATTTAATTTTAGTTAAAATAATTGTTGGCTTAATATATTAGTTAAATAAAAAATAAACAAATACTCCTGTATTAAAAAAGATGAATTTTATTTATTATATTAGTTTACAGAAAGAGAAAATAAATACTGTCAAAATAAATTATATGAACTCGCATGAATCGGATTGTTAGCACTGAACTTTAGGGTGAAGAACGATAAAACGATAACATTTAGGATAATCTGCACTGTCACTCGAAAATATATGGACGCTTGGCTGTAATAGAAGAATCCAAAAGCAGTAAGAAAGAATCCCATTCAATTTCATGTACTTCATTGGAAATCAGAATTGCATAGACGGTTTTAAGCATTTTCTTTATTAACACTAGAAAGACTGAAACTTAGTATATACCTATATTGCCC